TGAATTTTGATTGCCATGGAAAGTAATCAAAATTGGAAGCGCAATTGCTGCCCCACCCCCTGAGAGCCGTGCAGCCAAGTTGCAAGAAATGAAATGGAATAAGTAGCTTTTTTTTTTAAATGCATATGGGATGAGCGACGGGCGGGTTGCGGGTCGTAAAAGAAATCCCAAAAGCCAGCGACGATCAAGAGCACATGAGCACTTGATAACGGGTTTCGGAATCCGGCCGCAGCCAGCGTCGGCGTCAGCGTCAGCGTCGGCAGCAGCAGAGAAAGAGTAGTTGCACAGTCTAGAGACCAAACAAGAGACCAGACCCCAGACCCCGGAGACCAAGTTAACCCACTAACCTTGTTACTGCTTCTGTCTGTACCCCTTCTGTGCCCCCTCTGCCCATGTTTATGTCTCTCTTTCTCTCTCATGTCTTGGTCGCATTGAAAGTTGCTGTCAAGTTCAATGCTGCGACTGCGGCGGCGACCATGACGGAAGCGTCTGCGTTGGCGTCAGGGCAGAGAAAGCCGAGCAAAAAGGACATGACGCGGAGAGAGTGACGTCGACAGAGACATGCGCAGTTGTTTACTGGGTTAGTAGTAGGAGTGTGTACACACACGTGTTTGTCTGCGAATCTGTGGGTGTGGGTGGCTTGCAGACTCTCGTTTATATAACAACAATAAACTGCATGCCGTTGTTGCCGACGTCGCTTGCATTGACCTTCACCTTGGCAGTGGAAGTGGCAATGGCAACGTAGACGACGACCTTGCCTCTGCCTCTGCCATTGCTTCTGCCACGGCCGCGGTCAGGACGCTGTTAGCCTTGATCTTCAATGTGCACGTGCGCAATCAATAGTTAAGTAAGATTCCGTTTTTTTTTTTTATTTGTTATCAATTAAATTACCTGTTCTGTGATTTATAATGTCCGGTGCGATTGTTATTCTTAATGATGCTGCTGCTGCGTCGTCAGCGTCAGTTTTAGTGGTGACAAAAGGCTGCAAAAGAATTTGCATAAAATACAATCAGCTTTAAATTCAACGTACGCTCTTGCCGGGCTTCAATTTCTTCGCACACTTTCTGTCGCCAAAAAAAAAAAAAATAAACCAAAAAAAAAACACAACAAACAATAATAAAAAAAAAAACAAACACAATGCAAATCAAAATTCTTGGGCGACAAAAAAGTTTCTCTTTGCGCCTACGCAATAGGCGGTTTAATTAGCACGCACCGCACACGCACTGAGGCCATAAAGCAACAATGGACAATGGGAATGGGAATACGAATTGGAATGAGAACAACAAAACGAAAACAACAGTTAGTATAGCTTAAAGGAAGCGTCTTGAATTTTAGTCGTTGCTTCTTACTTTCGAGCAATGCGTTGCGAGTTTGGCCGGAGCGAGAAAGACAGAGAGAGTGCCAGAGAGCAAGTATAACGCGTCCGTTAGCAAGCGCCGTTAAAGTTCGACTGACAGGCGTGTGCTTTAAGCCAGAGACATTGACGCTGACTTTGACGCTGACTTTGACGCTGGCAGAGCGGTAGCAGCAACAACAGCAGCAGCAGCAGCATCGGGCGCATCCCAGTGCTAGTTCCGCCATTGGTGGCACAGAGCTTTGGGCACTGCTTAAGTTTCTACACAGCACAATTTTCACACCTTTGGTAAATCGAATTTGCAACTTCACAGCCAAATTCAAATTCTGCCCAGCTTAAGCAGGCATTTTTAAAATACGCGGCAAAATTTATAGCAAACAGCTTGCGCATGGCTGCATGCACAAACACAGGGTTGCTTACGCTGACATGGGGTTAACAGAATGATCGATTTATTCTTATTAGCAACGTTTAAATTGTTCTGTATTAGATTAACACTATTTATGTAGAGCCTAGGCGCCATTCACAAGAGGGAAGGAAAGGAAATATTGCAAATGCAAATATAACCTATAATACACGTTCAAGTCTACAATTTTTGAATATCTTTTGCAAAACTTCTTACATATTTTTAAATATTTATTGAATTGAATGCGCATTTATCAGTTAGATCACCCGCGGAATAAAAAATAATTCGACTTTTGTATGAATGCAAAGAAAACGGTTTTTTATTTCGCTAGACTTTTATCTTGTGTTATGGCGGCTGGGTTTGTTTTCTCAGTGCAGAGTTGACTGCGCATTTATAATTTAGATCATACACGAATTGAAAGCAACAAGTAACGGGTTCCAAAATGATAAAGTAGGATTTTGTATAAATGCAATAAGAACAACTCTGTACATAAGCTGTTAGCAGCATTAATCGGTATATCGATAAGCGAATATCGGTCCGGTTTACTGGCAACAATTGCAGGCAGTTCGCCGCTATTCGTATTTGTAGGCCAAGCCTCCGATTGTGATGCAATTGTTGTTTTAGACGAGAAAGTGAAAGTCTCGCCTTACTCTCTATTGACAGACATATTAACTTGGTTGTTATCAAAACAACTTAACGCACTTCTCTGTGTGTGGTCAGTGGAGAACTGACGATAACGGAGCTGGTGCTGCTGCTGTTGCTGTAACGCGTTCCAAAAGGTCAACGACAAGAACAACAACAGCAACAAACACGGAAAACAACACGCGATCCAACGAGGGCCCATGTGCACGCGACTTAAAAGTTGCGCGCGTAACTGGGCCAGCCCAGTTTAACCTAAAAGCACGCACAATCCCAAAGTAATCCAGAGTGAACTGAGGCATGAATCGCCTCACGCCCACAGGATGGAGCATACTGCCGTTTCGGGTCTCCACCACGACAAAAGTAAGTTGACTCTTCTGTTTTGTGTTATCAGTTAATAGTGGCATCGCTTCCAATTCCACGTGCAGGTTGTGCTCTTCTCGCTGACAGCCGGCGTGGCGTTGATGAGCGTCCTGTCGCGTTTTTTGCGGCGTCGGAAGCCGCCGCGTCCGATCCGACGCCCACGAAAATACACTGGACGGCGTACTCGGAACAGCATGCGAAGTCCCAACGATCTGACTTCAGTGGCCGGATCAAAGGCATCAGCGCGGTCGGGCAGCCCCGTCGGCTCAACAGTCGCCTACTCGGATCGACTGTCACTTGCCTCGGGCTCCATTGGCGCGGGCGCACAGAATCAGACCATGGTGGGCGGCATTGGCGCTGGCGTGGTACCACTGCTGACGGCCCAGCAGCTGGGAGTGATGGGCATGGAGGCACTGGACACAGTAATCAACTTTTGGGAGGATGCTCTGGCAGCACACTATTCGCCCGGCGGCGTGCCTGCCTCGCTGACAACGGCTGAGGACTCGGAGTTCTGTCGAGAGATACAGAACTTGCTTGAAATGTCGTATACGCTGCAGGAGCAGAGCGAACTCCTTTTCCTTGATCAGCGCTCGGTGCTCTTTCGCGAGGAACATTCCATAGACGAGGCCGAGGAGGATGGAGTGGCTGCCGCCGGAGACGGTGACGATGATCGGCACTCGCGCAAATCTGGCAGCGTGCTAAGCCGCGCCGGCTCCGATCCCAATTTCGATTCCGCGGAGAGCTTCGCCTCGGCCCTGGACCAAGTGGCCGATCTTCGCGAGTTTGACGGCTTCATTGAGACGGCGTATGAAGAGTATCCGCTGTTTCAGAATGCGCTCAAACATCACGATGAGTACACAGTGCCATGCCGGACGATACGCGCCGAATTAATGCACTGCAGCAGCGATACCGAATACTTGGCTAAGCTCCATTGCGTCCGACTCGCCTTTCAATATCTATTCAAGGATGCGGCCGTGGGCCAATGGATCTGCGATGCGGGCAGGCAAATACTGACAGATCTGCTGTGCCTGGGCGATAAGGACACCAAAGAGTTCCTCGTTGGCTACGAGGATATGGTCAACTTTCTGCATGAGCCCAGCAACTGGCCGTGCATCCAAATGGAACTAGAACAGCGAAATGTCAAGGCGATGACATTCTACGATATTTGCCTTGACTTTATCATACTGGACTCGTTTCGGGATTTAGATGCGCCACCAGCCAGCGTCACAGCCGTGGTCCAAAATCGTTGGCTTTCGAATGGCTTCAAGGAAACGGTACGAAAAATCTGAAAGAAAAAAATTGAACGAAATGTCACTTTGAATTGATACTGCTAACAGTTAACAGAAGATTAACAGAAGTGAACATCAATAGGAGTGAGTTTTTAACACTGAAAAAATAAGCTTGACAACTGAATCCCGTAACTGTTTGCCGCCATTTATCTGCGCAGCTCGACAAAATGCAACATTTTTCCATTTTGCACTTGCCCCAAGAGCCAAAAACACAAACTCGTAGTGGCAGCAAGAGAAAACTGTTGAACACCTCAATAAATAAGCATTTGTAATGAGTACTCAACGGCTCGAACTAAAGCCAAAGTGCATTGTCGAGACGATAAGCAGAGTGCATTAAGCTTCACGGCGTTGCCACTTATTATTACAGACTCTTCGTTTCGCTCAGTTTGTCATCGCAATATTCTCATACTGAAATTCTCTTTCCTTCTTCTAGGCGCTCACGACGGCTGTCTGGTCGGTGCTGAAAGCAAAGAAGCGTATGCTCAAATTTCAAAATGGATTTATGGCACACTTTTACGTTATATCGGAGCAGATATCGCCGCTGATGGCATGGGGCTTTTTCGGTCCCAACGAGAATCTGCGCGATATATGCCACTATTTTCGGGAGCAGTTGCTTGCATTTTTGGCCGACATCTATAGCTTCCAGAAAAGTCGCTTCACCACCATCGAGGACTTCTCGGAGGACGTACTGAAGCACATGCAGACGCGCGTCAACAACATTGGCGTCAAGTTCAGTCAGTAGAAAGAGAACCAGTGATGGAGAGAGAGGGGGAGAGAACGCATACACGAGAGATATTTATGCAGGATGATGATATTGGGGACCCGGCCAAAGCTTCTGTTTATGTTTTGATGGCAATCAAATTTTAACCACTTCATGCCACATACATGCATACGTTGACTAATTTTAAAGCCATTCACACGCACCCATACAGACACACATACATGCACATTTATGATTAAGAATCGCATTAAAGTCGCCAAAAACATTTGTAAAATAAAACTGTTTACTGCCAGCAAAGCAAACCAGCTGCTGGCTAGTTGGCTCTGCCTCTTCTCCGACAACGGGGCATCTCCGATTGCAACAGCAGGTGGAGTGTATCCTCTTGCTTGGCGCGGCCAGTCGTTGCTGTCAACTCGTCGCTGCAAGATGTGCAAGGGTCTGGGCTTCAGCACCGGATTTGTGGCGCTCTGCGCATTCGTGAGTGGACAGCTGCCAGTTGGAAGTACATACATATATATTTGTTCCATTAATGATGCATAGTTTTGCTGCAGATCTGCTGCTTTGGTGCGCTGCACATGCTCAACAAGATCGTGCACATCAACGAGGAGGTGGCACTGCGCACAGAGTACAAACTGCCGCCAGGTGGGAGCGATCGCTGTCAGCGGACATTCATTGTGGACGGTGCAGGTAATGCGCATATCACCTGGCTGGAACTGTTCTACATGAAATGGACGCTAGTGCTAACTATTTTCTATACATTCATTGTCATGGTGCTCATACGGGCTCAATACTTGAGTCACTTTGATATTAATTTCATTACCTCCAATGCGGTAAGCACCTCATATCGCTTACCCTTGAAATGTATCCCCCATAACCTTTACCCTCTACTCAGATGATGCTCGTTGGCGGCGTCCTCTCTGTGGTCCTGTTCATTGCCACTGTCATACTGCACGAGCGTATGCCCTTCATGGAGGTCTGGTGCAATGAGTTTATCGTTGGATTCATGTACTTCATAGCCATCAATATATGCGTGGCTGTCGTCTTTTTCCTCATCCACTCATGTCAATATTATTTTCAATTGGAGGAGCGCGGTTTTTGAGGAAGAAGCTCTTATTTATAACTGAGATTGAAAGGGTTGAAAATGTTTCGCATTTAATTTAAGGTAAATGACACTATTTTCGAATCCTGATGCAATTTTAAATGTTTTAAGAATTTTAAATTCCAGTTCTAGAAATGAGCGTACGAAATTACTCTGTGAATGTTCACAAATTAATTTATAAACATTTTTAATCATGGTCTATGAACACAAATGCTTTTGTTATAAATATATGCTTATGTTATAGTTATATATTTCAAGTTTTTCATCAACAGGAATAAAGCAATTCAGTTATTTTGTATATAAAGCTTTCGTTATGGACGCTGTTTAGAAAATGTTTTCATATCTTTGATTTTATAAAATGTATTAAACTAAATACTAAACAAATATGTGAAACAAGAAAGAACGGCATTAAATACTCTAGTCGACATAAGGCTTAGGCGTGCTTATATACAAAAGATGTATCTTAGACCAATTGAGCTAGATAATAAAGTTGTTCGGAAAAGTTTTTCTCATAAGAATTCGATTCTTCTTCGATTCCCCGCTCAATATGGTAATTTTCTTTAAACAGTAGAATCCAAAAAAGAGTAATTGCAGAAAAGTTTCACTTCCAAGTCTAGCGAGAATGTCCAATGCTTTAGTCATGCTTATGCATCCAAAATCCCGGAAGGACTTTTCAATTTAATACTTGTATTTTAGCACATAGGTAGACACATTTTGTATAAAAAAACATATAGACACGTTTATTCGAATACAATATATGCTGTTTGGTATAAAAGACAGACAGTGAGATGAAAGTAAAAATAAAAAATAAAATAAAAATGTAAAAACAAAAAAATATGAAAAAATAAAATAATATATATGTATATATATATATATATATATGTAGGTGTAGGAAGGTAGTACGAGTGTGTAACACAATTTATTTAACAGTACAACAAAGAGACTCTTCTGTATGGCTTGTGCGGTAATTGACTATAGCTGTAGCTATATCCGATTCTGATTCTGATGATCTGTTTGTGTTAGATTTCGATGCTCCTTTGCAAAATGCCAGCGATTGTGTCGCTTAAATGCCGCGATATGAGCGATGTGCCAGGAATGCGCTTATGAAGTAGAGCACCGTATTGACCAGGCCCAGAATTGGGGCCGCCATATAGGAATCATTCCTGCCATCTTTCAGCTTAATTAGCAGACAGACGGACGAGGCAAGCAGCAGGATGGCCGCAACACTATGATAGATCAGCTCCTGTAAATCCAAAAAATTAAGCAACATTTAGTTTTCGATTTGGGTTTTAATTCAGGATAGGTAAGCACTTACATAGATTGTCTTGGCGATGAGCCCGCCCGTGCTCAGCGATGTGAGGCACGCAAGGAGTAAACAAAATGTCCCTATCATAAATGTGGTGGCCATCAAGAAATGGAACAAATCCTGCTCTCCACGATAGTACGGGGAGTCATGGTAGCGGATCGACATCAGGGTCACCACAGCAATGCCAATAAGCTAAAAATGCCATTAACAAATGAAAAAGGTTCTTTAACTGGGCCCAACTATGCAACTATATTGAGACATCACTTACCAGCTGGAAGAGCTTGAGTATACCCGGAAAGGTCTTGATGTAGCCCGTGTTGAGCACAATGTAGGAGGTGTTGGTGGTGCTGGTGGTGGTGCGTGTTATGGTCACGGAGTGAGACATCTTGGCGACTACTTAGACGGTGGCTGGTTAAGGTGGGTTGGTTGGGTCTAAAAGTAAAGTAGGGCAAGAAGAAAAATAAAAATATGACAATCAGATAAGCCCGGTTGTATTAGCACATGCTTTAAATAAAATAAAAATATGTATATGGGAGACCACTCTTGTTGAAAAAAAAATAAAACAAGTAAGAGGTTCTAGTCAGGCGCTCCCGACTAGGGGATACCCTGATCCCTCTTCTTCCAACAGGCGATAGGTATAAAATAAAAGCTACTTGATATATATATATACTATTCTAGAAGCTAGATCGACTCGGCTGATCGTCTCGGCTGTTCATGCTAATTAAGAATATATTTACTTTATGGGGTCGGAGATGCTTCCTGCTGCCTCTTATATATATTTGCACAAATACATTATCCCTTTTTACCCATTTTCAATGGGTTCAGGGTATAAAAATCATATTTCTATCCTCAATGTAATCCCCTTTTACTGTCAATGAATAACAATGAAAAAAAAATTATATTGTTTTTAAGCTTCGATCCTTAAAAACCCGAATACTTAGATAAATTATAATTGTAGAAGATATGGAAATAGGAGTCTTTTAGCAATACACAAATTGGTTCAACCAAATGAGAAAGATGATTTTCATAAAATAGAAAAATGTATACTGATTAATACAAAGATTTTTTTTATAATTAAAAAACAAATTTTATGTTTCATATATTTTATATTTTTATAGTTCGAACTTTGCAATTCTCAAACCAATTTTTAAAGTTTTTACTAACTATATATGTTAATTTTCTCTTCATAAAAATGAATTTCATTATTCCAAAACTTTGTCTGAACAAGATTTGGAATAGTGAAATTCATTATATCATAAAATCATAAAAAATTATATCTTATAAGAACATTTTATGAGATATCAAGATTTTATGAATAATTTTTTTTCTTGATAAAAACTGCCATTTCTTTTCTAAATATATTTTAAAAACAATTTTTCAGTTTTAATACTGAAGTAATAATAAAAATGTGAGAGCTTTGATATGAGAAATTAAAAATCTTTTTAACTACGTGGAAAATATATTATATATAAATATTATGACTGCTGTTTTCTGCTAAATTTAAAAGAGACCTGTTTGTTTCGTAAGTAGATTTAAATACAAAATAAACAAATAAAATGGAATATATTTAAATTTCGAGTATATAGTATATTAAAGCTTTTTCTGCCAACTGGAAAACATATCGTGCATCTCTTATTAAATCTGACTAGATCCACTTAAAGACCTATCGAAAAATAATGGAGCGTTTATTTTATAAATTATCATATTTGAATAATTGTTTAGATTTTTGTAATCTGAATCCCCACACAGACGTATTTCAATTGAACACTGCAAGTGCATATTTGCACAGTTGTTACAAATCGGATGCCCTAACCACGCCCATGCCCACACTGTTGTATTTTTGGCCATATAATTTGTTATTATTTTTTCTAAAATTAAACATTTTCAATGCCGGCCTCGCTGAGCGCCAAATGTTATTGAAACAACGCAGGAGAAGCTAGATATTCGATTTACTGTCATACCGATCTCTCTCTCTCTCTCTCTCTCTCTCTCTCTGTCTCTAAAGAACACATCCATCCACAAACGTGTATGCATACAATACACAGGTCTGTATTTTAGATTGTGTTTGTCGTCTATAGCCGTACAGTGACGTCATGGGCTTTATGGTCGCTGCCTTTTGTGTTTCAGCAAAATATTTCGATGGAAACATGAATTTTCTGTTCGATATATATATATATATATATATATATATATACATATATATTTGTATGTATATTCATAGGTTCATGTGTGGTTTATACATGCATGTGTCGATAAATTTTCGAAATTGGGGCGCGCGTTAAAGCGTGCGTGTGTATGCGAGCGTGTGTATATGTGTGGGTTTTGGGCAAGTGTTGAGCGAGTGGAGGCAATAGGCGATTTCTTAAAGATCGACGGAATTATTTGTATGTATACGACGTTTGCATATAGTATGAGTGCATATGGATGTACTTAGTTTTTAAGGACTGACATTGGCTCATCTGTACTCGATTTATACAGCTTCCCAGCAATTACAATTCTCATAGCTAATGGAGCCTATTTATGAAGAGCTTATCGCATTTCTTAACTCAGCCGCATAGCTACTGAATTGCTGCCTCATCTGCCACAAGGTCTTAATAGAGGGGAGCCATTAGTCAGACGCGCCCAGCCAAAATAATGACGCCATCCCATCCAGCAAACTCCATTCATTCATTGCGATGACGTAACGACTTACAAAGAATACGGTTTGGAATTTCGAATTTCGGTTGCGATTCGAGCCCTACCCTCTTCCAATTGGCAACGGCAACGACAACGACAACAACAACAGCAACAACAACAACAACGACAACAATCAAAACAAACCGAACCACATTTTATGTTGATTAGTGAGCGGATTTCCGTTTTGCTCTCGAGGGTTGTCTTAAAAATGTGCTTTTAGTCTTTGGTTAACAACAATAACAATAACCAATAACAATAATAATGGGCAGCAACAGGCGCCGGTTTTTTTGAAAATGATATCATGCTCGAGCTATGTATGTACATATGTACGTCTGAACGTGTATGTGCCTTGAATAGTAACAAGCAATATCAAGCGAGGCTTTTTCACAAAAACCTTTAACAAATTGAGCAATTTTCTGGGTATACAAATTGAGTTTTGTTGCTAAGAAAAACAAAGAAACAATAAAAGAAAATTGCGACAGTCAAACCTTCGTTATCAGAAACAAGCAAAAGAAAGTAAAGAAGACGATAACAGCAATTGTCGTAGAGTCTAAAAGTGGTTGCATTTTGTGGCTGTTGTATTTTTACTGCTGCTGCTGCACGTTATGCGATTGGCACGCAGTGAGATCATCGCTAAAAGGTCTGTTTTATTATTGACCCACTCAGTGAACCCAACAAACTCCTTGTAAAATTGATGTCATGCTTTTTATTATGTGCCACGCCCTGGAACTTAGCACTTGCCAATTTGTATTTTAAAAATGCAGCTTTTTTTCTACGCGCACACAAATTGAAAAAAAAAATCGTGAAAAACGTGTACATTTTGAATTTTTTAAATGTACACACACACATGCATATATCGATGTCTGCGTGTGTGTGCTTGAATGCGCATAAAATTATATGCGATCGCTTGGTTCTTACTTTTTGGATACACGAATTGAATTCGCCGACTCTGGTCACACACTTGTGTTTTGTATTGAAAATTCGTTATGGGCAATACGTTTGATATTTCGAGCTGTTGCTTTTGCGTCTTGACGCGCGTACGTTAAAAATGAAACTGAAACTACAAAAGTATTTTCAATTTCGTTTACGCCTTTTGCTTCTGCCAGCTGGCTGGCCGGCTGGCCGCTCCGAAGGCAGCGCCGTCAACGCAACGCCACTATACAAAAACAAGAAGCAAACAAATCAGTCACAAAGCACAACAAGTTGTTATTGCTGTTGTTGTACAGTGGCAACGCTTTGCGTCGCGACTCACTCAGCCATTCAGCGAGACGATAACAACCATGACGTCATGATGTCACAAAAAATAAAAACAACGACAACATCAATAGCAAAAACAAAAATAAAAAAACAGCAATGTCGCGCGCTTTTATTGTTATTGTTAGTGCATTTGGCCTCAACACACCCCCGGCACGCACTGACCACTGTAACGGTTAGTTGCTCTTGGCGTTACAATTTATTTAATGAGAAAGCGCGAGAGCAGCCGTTTCTTCTGCACTGTGCTATCATTTCTTGTGACTCACCTGTCAGAGAAAGAGAGTGTGAATGTGGGAGCCTAGGAAAATGGGGTGACTATGAGTAATGCAATAACTAAATATGCATGCACATATATGTGTGTGTGTGTGTGTGTGTCTGTGTGTGGGCACTGTTTGGATTAACTGCGCTGCTGCCGTCTCAAGGAGAACGCGAATATATGTATACATATATTAAAACAAAAGTGTTCTAGTCAAGAGTGGTCGGCTAGGAGACACCCTGCAGAACGCTTCAAATTACATGGTGCTTGGCAATAAGATAAACAGTTTCTATAGTTATCTCACGTTCTTCCTTAAATATTAATTATTTGTGAATAACTTTAGTATACTATATATGTATATATATACATACGTCAAATCGGTTTTACTTGATCTAATCGATTTTAACGTAAGTTGGACAAAGCTATTAAAAGAGAACTTATTTTGAAAATACCCCGCCTGATAGAAGTAAAAGACTATTGTTTACTGATTTTTGTTTTCGAAAATCGGATGTAAACATGTACATTAATTACAAAATTCAGGCCTGCAGTTTTCGTAATCAATGATATCCACTCAGCGCCAGGTCTTGAATTAAATAATTTATAGACCTACTAGCACCGCCACATACATACATTTAAACAGGGTATTTGAAATTGCTTGCATATTTGTAGTTATCAATGCGATTCATCGTTATCAAGTACACTCAGCTATTCAGTCATTCATATTGCCTTCGGCTTACATTATTTAATATGCAAATTATGAGTTGGGCGTAGTGAGCATTTGAATAATGCCAACAACAAACAGATTGTATTCATCTTCCAAAATAGCACAACAAAGCTTTTGTGCGTTGCATACTTCAAGGCGTGGCGGTTTTCACAACCTGCATTCTGATGTACCCATATTTTCGAATACACTTTCACTTTGAATAAGTATGCCAATACTTATGCATAAATAAGTATGTCAACACAAATTCCTTATTGAATATATATTCTTCAAAGGGAACTCAAAGGTTATACTGCTTATGTACAAACAAATGTGTATGCAGATCAAATTTTAACGAGAAAGAAGGGCTATCTTCGGCACGCCGAAGATTTAATACCCTTGCAGACCGAACTTTTTTATAAAATTGATAAATCTTTGCCCGCATCTAAGAAGCACTGGGAAAATAGTTAATGCCGAGTATGGTTAAGATATCTTGAAAAACAAAAAGTTTTTCATACAACAACTTCATTTTTGACCGATCGTTCCTATGGCAGCTACATGATATAGTGGTCCGATGTCAATAGGATTTTGCATATGTATGAGGAGCATAGTAAAACTAATAAATGCCAAGTTTAGTCAAGATATCTTGATAAACGAAAAAGTTTTCCATACAAAAACTTAATTTTCTACCGATCGTTCCTATGGTAGCTATATAATTAGTGATAGGATTTTGCATATATATGAGACGCATAGTAAAAGTAATAAATGCCGAGCTTGGTTAAGATATCTTGATAAACAAAAAAGTTGTTCATAAAAGAACCCACTTTTCGACCGATCGTTCCTATGACAGCTATATGATATACTTGTCCGATCCAGCCGGTTCAGACATATGTACTGCGTGCAACAGCAAGAGGGACTTCTGCAAAGTTTCATGACGACAGTTTTAAAACTGAGAGACTAGTTCGCATAGAAACAGACAGATGGGCGTACGGATAGACGGACATAGCTATATCGACTCGGCTGTTGACACTGATCAAGAATATATATACTTGATAGGGTCGGAGATGTCTCCTTCTATGCGTTGCACATTTCACGACAAAATTATAATACTCTCTGCAAGGGTATAAAAAATCTAGCGATATCTGTACTGCACACGAGCTAAAAATAGTGTTCATAATCGTTAGGCTAATTGACGAGACAGCTCTAAAATTTAGAAAATATATTCGATCGCCCTTGACCCATTGATCTATCGCAGAACATGTGTAAGACTAATTGCTATGTTTATAGTTACTTAAAAATCTCTGAGGACCTACTGACATACTTACTGTACTGTATTTAAAATTTAGCTATTGCCGTCACACGGATAACAAATAATTATAATTCCATTTTAAAAATGTTTTTAGTTCACCTTATTTTTTCCAAGAAAAATGGTACTCCATGTGGTAAGCGAATGTTTTTAAAGCACATTAAAGTTTAGAGACAAGACAAACAATTTCTTAAAAAAAAAAAGCATTGTTTTGGGCGATGATGCCTATAGAGCTTTAGAGGTGTAATAGTCGCATGTGATAAGATTTTTTTAAAGTAAGGTATAAGATATGTAAGAATTATCTTGAAAAACAAACAAGATTTAAATACAAGAACCCTATTTTCATACGAACATACCTTTCTCAGCTAACTGCTAGCTTTAGAAGGCGAATCAGGATATGTTATACTTTATGGTCTCAGAAAAGGGTCCTGCTATCAGCTACATACATATAAATCTGAAGGGGTATACAAATATGTCATTTAAATGGATTATATAACAAAAAGATTGCAGTTCCAATTCTCATTAATTTATTTTCATTTATTCTTGCCTTTTGGGTGTATGAAACATGAATGTATGAGTGATTGTTTGTTTAAGGACATGCTGAGCCGCATCTCAATATTGATTGGAATTTGGCAAGTGAGGTGTAATTGTGTGTGTGTGTGTGTGTGTCTGTTTGTATGCATGATTGATGGCTGTTAAATGCTTTCGCTTATTACAATATAATTCAAATCCTGTGATCAGTACAATTTATAATTTTTGCTTTCGTGTTTGCTGCTGTTTGCATATATTATATATATATATATAGACATGCATATTTCATCTTCAGCATTGGGTTAGAATTAAGGCTAATCTTTTAATGTGTATGCTTGTATGTGTATGTGTGTGTGTGTGTGTGCATTTATATTAGCTTTCATTGTTTTTTTTTTCGTTTTTTCTCTTATCGAGCATTAGTTCAACTAGATATCATCGATAAATTTATATATGTTAATAAGGAAACATTTCTTTTTGCTTGCATTCTTTGTTATGGCAAAGATACGTTACGAATTTTATGCAGCAGCAACGCTTAAGAACCTTAATTTTATAATAAGAGTAAAGGAGAGATACTCTATTCTTCTTCTCCTTTCCTATCTTTTGTGTTGTTGTCTCGCTTTAAATCATGTGTATGTGTTTCCTTTTCTTTTTTTTTTTTGGTAATTTTGTTTTCATTAATTATGTTGCTGCTGAGGTTGTTTCCAACTAATTTAATCGAGTCCGTCATCTACAAAGTCTGAGGACTCCTTTTTGGCCTTTGGCTCACTGCTGTTGGAGGCCTTGCCTTCCGCATCGCAGAAGGGGGCGTCATCGCTGTCAGCATCGCCAGCGGTTGGATCGCCGCCTGGGAAACCGCCGCCAGGGAAGCCGCCCGGGAAGAAGTTCTTGACCAAATTGAAAATCTTCGGGTTCGAAACGTATTTGGAAATGTTAGCCGGATTGGCCAATATATCTTGCATGGCAGCCGCCACTTCGGGATCTTTCATTTTCGACATCAAATCGCCCATATCGAAGCCGGCGGGCATGCCGCCGCCAGCACCTGGGAAAGCGCCAGCGCCTGGAAAACCGCCTGCACCTGGAAAGCCACCAGCACCTGGAAAACTACCAGCACCCGGAAAGCCACCCGCAGAGCTTTGTTTAGCCTGCTCCTTGCGAGCCTTGCGCTGTGCACGTTGACGATCCTTGATTTTGCGCTCAGCCTGCTTGCGCTCCTGCTTAATGCGATGCTGTTCAATCTTCTTGGCATTGGGCGTCACTTCACGCAGCCACTCGTCGGCCTCCTCGTCAAAATCAAGCTTGCACGCCTGACGCAAATCCTTGGCTGCCTCCTCAAACTTGCCGAGCAGACGATTAGCGCGTCCACGGAACTTGTACGCCGCAGCCGAGTCACAGTTTAGCTCCAAGGCCTTGTCACAGTCGCGTATGCATGCATTCGGCTTCTTCAACTTGAGGAAGGCTTGGCCGCGCTTAGCATAGAATAGCGCATTCCCCGGGTTCAGCTCAATAGCTTTAGTATAGAAGCTGATGGCTTCGTCGAATTTCTGTTCGCTGTACGCGGCGGCTGCCTGGCCGCGCAGATCGCCAGCCTGATCCATTTCCTCCTCAGTGGGCTCTTTGTTTGAATCGCCCATCGGCTGAGCCGGTTCGTTGTCGGCTTCAATTACGCCTGCGAACATAAATTGAGGTTGGGAAGTTCACAAATATGAGCACGTGATTTTTTTTTTGAGTTTGTGTCAATTCGCTTTTAATTTACCTTCCATATCCAATTCCACATCAGACTCTGGCTCCGAAGCGCTTGCAACCTCTTCGCTTTTATCCGAATCATCTGCATCGGGTCCGGCTGCCGACTCGGCTGGCTTTGCCTTGGCCCCGGCATCACCGCCAAAGGGACATTTACTGCTGCACCCAGTTCAAAAATACATATACATTTTAATATATACGTATATGAAAACGTCGTGCGCCTTAAAGAAGCGGCTAACACACACTTACCCAGTTTCCGGCATCTTGAAATTTCCCTCGGGCACCTTACCACCAAACTTTTCAACAAAATCCTTGACAAATTGCAATTGGGGCATGTTCAACACCGTGGGATTTGTATTGACAAAATCAATGAAGCCTTTCAGCTTAAGCAAATCTTCATGTTGCATTGGCGCGGCCATTTTTCAAAAATTTCGTTTAAGTTCTCGTATGTTCTATCTATACTATTACAAATATATATGTAAAATGCGTCTCGCACAAAATGCTGAAATAAAATTTTCTCCGGTTTGTCAGTGTGACCGATTGTTACAGATAGCGGTTTGACAAATAACTACATGTTATCGAGTATATTTATGAACACATAACCTACATGAAGCATCGAGACTTGTTAACAGCCCTGTTAATATTCAGTTTTCTAAAAGTGTTAAGCGATATATCGATACTATTAAATACAAGGCCCTGGCTGGAAGTAGCCATCCCTGTACGAAATACACAAAGCAAAAGTGAAAAAAGCATACAAAAATAATAAAAGTTCAATTAAAAATTGCACCTCTCCGTTGCACAATTGCATCAACGATACCAGGCTTACACTAAATATATAAAGTGCCGCAGATAAATCAAAATCCCGAATTGTATCAAACGCAGCAGATATAAATATCAGAGCAGCCATTCAAAATGGCCACCAGCGAGATTTCTAGCTCCAACGAGCGGCACTACTACGCCAAGCTGGAGGCAATTAAGGATATACGGGACAAGACTCTGGCGTTGGAGAAGCTTAAGGTGCGGATTATCAAGGAGGTGAAGCTGAGCGATGACGAGGAGAAGTGCTTAGACGAATATCGAAAGGAAATGGAGCATTTGCTGGAGGAGAAGATGTCGCATGTAGAGGAGCTGCGCCAGATACACGCGGACATCAATGACATGGAGAATATAATTAAGCAGACTAAAGAGAATCAGACGCGCTCTTTCGATATGGCTAACCGCGTGTATGAGGAATACCTCGCCCTCAAGTATCAAATCGACCACATGCGGCGCGACTACCTTGGTCTCAGTCCGCTGCGCGACCTGCACGAGGAGGAGGGCAGCCCCATATCAAAAGATCGCTTTCAGACTAATTTCCTTAAAGTTGCCGCCCAGTCAGCGGCCGCTGCAGCAGCTGCGGCGGCAGCGGCGGCCGTCACACAACCCACATCTCTGGCGCGACCACACGCACGGCATCCGCTGATGACCGAGGCCACGGTGACGGCATTGCCGCCGAATGCAGCGGGCGCCGGTGGCGGCGGCGGCTCGAATGTGCCCAGTGGAGGGGCTGGCGGGCCAGGGCATGCATTTATGCCACCAGCACCACCAGGCGCACCGGGCAGCGCTGGCGCTGCCGCAGCCGCAGCCGTAGCCGCAGCGCGTCTCGGAAAGAATGATTTCTCGGCACCGCCGCCGCCGCCGCCAACCACAAATCGCTTGCAACAGTCACCGTCCATTGGAATTGGGCACCATCCATCTTTTCGCTCCGACTTCAATGTGAACCTGAGGCAACAACCGCCCCCAATGAAGTCGTGCTTGTCCTGTCATCAGCAGATCCATCGCAATGCGCCCATTTGTCCGCTGTGCAAGGCCAAGTCGCGTTCACGTAACCCCAAGAAGCCCAAAAAGAAAAATAACTAATTGCCAATACTCAAAAATTTGCTTTGTATATGTTAAATCAAATTGGAATGTTAATATCTTAATGTTTTAATTTGTTTTTTTTTTTTCTTCGTGGTTTTTATATATTTATTTATTAACCGAGCGACGCAAACAAGCCGCACATTAAAAGTATTAAATTTTTTTCTCATAACCATTAGCCTGTAAGCTGCTAAGAATTATATGCTCATATTTTCTGTCATCTATGCTAATTTTGCATATTATCTATAAGTTAACTCTATGTAGACATTCTACATCTAAGCGAGCGCAATTACCGTGTCAAATTAAACCCAATTACATTTTATACGTGTAAGCATTCAAATAAAAACAAAACATTTTCAATTTTATTTCTTTTCTTCATCTTTATGTTATTAAATTACTGTGGCCACATAATCTTATGGATTAGGTATTCATTTTGAAATTTAATACCATGACAAATGATCTGAATGATCTGATCAAAAACAAATTTTTCAAGCATAGTATGAAAAAAGAACTCCATAAGTCACTTTAAACTGAACAGTCGAACGAGAGAAAAAAATGAATATTGGAGATAATTGAGCTGATCAAAATACTTACATTCGATAAATAAACTGTTTTATTTGGAATATGTATCCAGCAGCCACTTCTTAGCAACAATAATAAACACAATAATTAATTTATATCTCCGGCAGGTCGAACAGAACCCAGCTTTACAGAGGAAATTTCAAGTTCGTCAAGATATCCTGAAAAAACTAACAAAAATTGGTCTACAGCTATCCTTATCTTATATACCTTATCATTTAAATTATATTACACTCTATAAGAGTATAAAAACTAACAAATTAATATAAACTAATGTTTGAAATTCGATCTGCGCGCATTCATTATTTTAACCAACGTTTTGCAGCACTTTTTTCGTCGCTTTCAACACTTCTTCGAGTTTTTCAATACTATTTGTAGCAGGCTTGCCAGACTGTTTAACGCTTTAAGTCTAAATAGTGATCTGGCTTAAAGAAGTTACCGAAACGCAACAGGCTCAACTGGGAATGAAGTTGCGTTGGCCAAAGACGGGAACTAAACGATTCGCGGACAAAGTGGAGAGCGATAGAACGTTGTGTTTGTGAAGTAGCGCGCAGTTTTTATTTGTTTAACATTGTAAGTTAAAACGAAGCGTTAAGAACTAATAAGATTTGAACGCATCAGTGCGGTTATAACTGTTTCTGCTGCCAGTCGTCTCTGCGCACTGTTGTTATTGTTGTCGTCGTTGTTGTTGTTGCAGCTGCGTGCACAGAATTTGTGAAAAGAGAAAGTTTGAATCGCGGATGAGTGAGTCGACTCGACTCGCACTGACTGCTGCTGCTTACTGTGACAGCAGAACGAAAAATCCACTCAATAAAGTAAGACTCATAAAATTGAATCTGGGCTATTGCGGGTAAGAATTGAATTTGATTTCACAATTGCTAGCAATTTATAACATTTTGCATTTACCAACACCGCAGTGCGAATATCTCTACAATGGCACCCAAGGAAACGGTTGTGACCAACAACAACAACGGCAAGGGCTCTGCCTGTGAGTCGCTGACCAACTCTGCCTCACCAGCGAAGGCAAATGGACAAGTCAAGTCGTACCGGGAGGAGAATGCACTGCCGGGCAAGAAGTCCGTTGTGATCGCTTATGTGCTGTGGCTCGTTGGCGGCATATTTGGACTGCACCACTTGTATTTACATCGCGACCGTCACGCCTTTGTCTGGTGGTGCTCGCTGGGCGGTTACTTGGGCATTGGCTGGTTCAGCGAGCTGTTTCTCATACCCGAATATGTGCGCGATGCCAACGAGGATCCACAGTTTCTAAAAGTGTTTGTCGCCAAGCTGCAGGCCTATCCGCGACCGCCGTATTCGGCCAAGCGTTTTCTGGGTCAAATCATGATTGGATACCTGTTTGGCCAGCTGTTTAGCTCTGCCATACCGCAAGCCATCACTGCGGGCATTGATTTTGGTTGGTTACACTGGTTCATCCCGATTTTCGTATCGCTGGGCGTTTGGACCGTGGGCAACATTGGACGCGAGCGCGGCGTTTTGTGGCACTGCCTTATAGGCGCAATGATTGCCTACCCGTCACGCTATTTCATCTATGATGAGACATACTCACTGCTCTTGACGTCGCTTGTGTCTGCGCTGGTCTTTGATACCTTCTCGAAGCATTGGCGCCGTACACCGCCGCGCAGACGCGGTCCCACCGAACGCACACTGAAGCTGGGCGCAGCCATTTGCATTTATTTTAGCCTGTGGGGCTCTGTGGTGCTCTTCAACGGGACCATTCGAGACGACGATGGTGGCGAAGTGCCCATACACGAGGCCCTGCAAAATTTCCTCGCTTCCGCCTGGTGGACAGATTTAAAGCAGGCCTTGTACGACACCTACACATATGCTCAGCATCATGGCTGGTACGAGACGTGGCGGGAGGTCTTCGAGAGCATGGATGTGGATGGTGAACGCAATGCCTACAAGGTACTGGGCGTCAGTGCCACCGCCTCGCAGGCAGATATTACGGCTGCCTATCGCAAACTGTCCAAAGAGAACCATCCCGACAAAGTCAAGGATGAGGCACTGCGACCCGCTGCTCACCAGCGCTTCATTGAAATCCAGCAGGCCTACAGCGTGCTCAGCAAGATCAAATCCAGTCGTCGTCGCAAGAACAAACAGTTTAAGGCAGATGATGCCATTGAGCTGTAATTCCATATTTGCCTAATCAAAGTCTAAGTCTGCTACAAATTTAAGGCATTTTTTCTTCAATAACAATAATGTATTTATTTTTAATAATTAAAGTATAGAATAAACCGATCCGCAGATCTATATACACGAACATACTAATAAGCATTTAGCTCTATTCGTGCAGCGAGCGATAACAGTCCACGTCGAACTTACCCTGACTAATTGCGTCGTGAGGTATACAAGAGCCAGGGAGTTGCAGCCCGCTGATAATGTTATTTTTGTTATTTTTTACCCTACCAGAGGGCATCATAACATTACGAGTAATCTGACTGCACTAAGTATATTGTAAATCAAGATCTACAGTTTAAGTTAGATTTAATGCTGTGGATTGTTTTTTTATCTTAACCAAAGCTTGCAACGACAAATTTTCAAATTCCATCGAACTTCTTTAAAATATAGTTTTCATAGCCATCAACTGTTGATATAACCATGCCCGTCAGTCTGTCTGTCTAGTTTAAACTATCATGCAGAAACTATCGTAATTTTCGTTGCAGGCAGTACATATGTCCAGGTAGGCCCTATCAGACCTGTTCAGCTAAATGAAAGATGCTATCGGAAAGATCGATCAAAAACTGAGCCTTGCATGCCACGCTTTATAATTCTCAACCAGTTAAAGCATTGATAGAGTGACAAAGTGTTTAGAAACATGGAGTTAAGTAGAGTAGAGCTGGGAGGTTAATTTTTTACCCTTATCCAGCCAGCTTACCATTGAGCATATGAAAATCTTTGTTTCATATTACTTTTATTGGAACGAGCCGTTTTAAACTAAACTCTTATAAGAAAACCTTTTTATTTTTCAAGATATTTCAACCAAGCGCGGCAATTAAGAGCTTCACTAGGCTCCTAACAAATAAGATTGTATGACTGGGAGATACCCTTTACCCAGCTCCGATTTA